ACAAATCATACAAACTAATATTCTTGAAAAGCATGTAACGAAATGTTTTTTATCTTTCAGCTACCAATGTTTTCCATAAACACTTCCAACGAAGCTCTCTTTGAACTCTCCATTCTTCATTTTAATGGAAAAATTTATATGAGCGCAAAAAACAGATGTAATTAAGGTAAATTTAAGCAAATATAAATTCACGAAACAAAACTGATTTAATTTTGAATTCGGTTTGTAATGAAGATTTCATGCTGATTAAAAATGGAACACTCACTTACATTACAGTTTATTTTATGTGTTATTATTCATATTTTAACAAGTGGTATAGCTTTTTCGGATGACAAATCAAAGTCAGCAAAAATCGAAATAGATGAAGAAAATGTAGTGGTTTTAGGAGGCCTGTTTCCTGTTCACAGCAAAGGACCAAGTCAAGAAGACCGTTGTGGGCCAATGCTTCTTGAAAAAGGCATTCAACGCTTAGAAGCCATGTTATATGCTATCGATCGGATCAATAATAACACAAGTTATTGGCAGTTCAAGATGAGTGCTACTGTTTTGGACACATGTTCCTCTGATTCTTACGCTTTGGAACAGTCTCTGCAATTCCTGCATTATTCGTGTGGACCTAATGCCAATATTAGCAGAAAAGTCGCAGCAGTAGTTGGAGCAGCTAACAGCGTTGTGTCTGCTTCGGTGGCCAATATATTCAGACTCTTTCAGGTAAGCCAAAGAGTTTTAAATAAATAAATAAAGTTTATTTTTTTAAAAATTTTATTATTTTTCTCAAAAAGGAAAAACGTTTTCAGTGAAAAATTTCATTTCACAATATTTAGTGGTATGGAACGTTTTAGCTATGAAACTCGATGTATATATCAAAGAAACTAAACGATAAATATTTTTTAAGGTATCAGACTACGTTCGAAACCGTGATTTTGCACAAAAGCGTATAAATGGATAATATTTATGATATTTAGTGTCACTTAGGTTAGAAAATGTATATAAAATTGTTTTAAGAATAGTACTACAATAAAAAATTATTTAAGTACAATATTTTGACAAATAATGAACATAGAATGACCCATTTTCAAAATATTCTCCTTTTGTGAAAAATGCTTCTATTATAATAATATTTTGCCTGTATATAGCTCAGACCTCTGTACAGAGGCTCAACTAGAATTTTTGAAATATATAACTTAGAAGTGGGTTTATCCATGTTTTACGACAACAAAGGGGAGAAATTTTAAGAAAAAAACACCGAAAATCATTTCAATGGGTTGTAAATCTGAAAATAATTTGAATGTTTCAAAAATCATAGTTTAGTCTCTGAACAGAGGTCTGAGCTATATACAGGCTAAATATTATTATTATAGAAGCATTTTTCACAAAAGGAGAACATTTTGAAAATGGGTCATTCTAAGTTAATTTTTTGCCGAAATATTGTATTTAAATAATTTTTTTTTTGTCAAAATGTCCTTAAAACAGTTTTATACATGTATTCTAATCTAAGTGACACTAAATATCATGAAAATTATTCATTTATGCGCTTTTTTAAAATCACGGTTCCGAACGTAGTCGGATACCTTAATGGTTTCGAAAGACTTTGAAATGCATATAAAATACTTTTTCTTTAAATAAATTGGTTTTCAAATTTACAAAAAGCAATAGCAAAAACATTTCTTCATAGTTGTTATAATTTACGATGATTAGAAGAAATTCAAAATGGAATACAAAACAAAACTAAAGGTTCTTATTTACCGTAAAATCCGCCGTATAACGCGCACCTATGCTTTCAATCTGAAATTTTTAGTTTTTAGGTATATTCACCGTATAGCGAGCACCCACTTCTTACGAATAAACTTGAAATGCACGTAGTCAATGTTCTTTTGAGATATTCGAGGTATTATTCCAAACTTTTGAAAAAAATCATTTCATTTTTATACCTGGCGTATAAAGCGCAAACGTAAATTTGGATCTAATTTTTTTTGTGTTAAAAGTGCGCGTTATACACCAGATTTTAGGGTAACTTTAAAAACCTTTGCTTTTTACTTTTACAGTGTTATTTTAATTCGGGTTTAAGAAACCCAACACTAACATGGATAATGCTTGCGTGCGTGCGTCCGGGTGTGGGAGTGAGAGATTTCACATATTTCTGTTTAATTATCATAAGTTTTTTACGGGCTGCAACGTAAACATAATAATTTAAAAGTCAAAAATTATTTTAATATTATTACACACATTTGAGCATTTAAAATCCCATGTAGTTCTTAGTTGTGTACGTGTTTTACCTGTATACATTCTACACAAAAAAAAAAAATGCTAAATTGTATATTCTGCTACTTCATTATAAAACTAATGTATGAATTCGAAAATATATTTATTTAAGAAATTATATATTCTAAAAGATAGGAATTTCTTATGATATAAAGATTTAAGTAAATTAGTACATTACTACAGGTTCGAATTGTAATCATGTGGGTTTATAATTTAAGCTAAATTTGTGAATTTATATAATAAATTGAATTTTTTCAGAATAATTGAGTGCATTAAATATTTCATTTTATATTCCTTGGATGCAGATACAAATACTCAAGTTTTATTCAACATAGTGGGGGGAGGGGAACTAATGCAAGGAGGAATCAAATTTTATGCACTTTTTAAGTAAATTGTATCATCACATGCAATCAGAAAATTTAATAAAGTTTGTTATTCATAAAAATTGTAAGCTTTTCTTTCAAAAAGTATTTTTTAATTCATTTATTAACTATTTTATTTTCTCTGTATATTTGAAAATAAATTTACTATAAAAAATTTTTTATTCATATTTTATCCAAATATTTTACATGCAATAAATCTCTTTAACGTAAGATTATTATACCATATTAGCAATAAAAATTGTCTATTTTAAACAATTATAGTTCATTACAATGTTTAATTCTTCATCCCTTAAAGTTTTTGAATATTTCTCATAGTACATAAGCAAAAGGAAAGGTAAAGAACAAAAATTTTATCTTTTTATCTCTTATCGGTAGATGAAAACAACATAAAAAAAACCTTAAAAATTATTTAGAAGCCTGATTTAAATATTCCTAACACTGTCTATAAAAATGAAAAAATAAAATGTTTATCTTCTATAGATTCCACAAGTATCCTATGCATCTACCAGCGAAGAATTAGATGATTTGTACAAATATCCTTACTTCTTTCGCGTCGTCCCATCAGACAGATTTCAAGTTAAAGTCATTTATGATATTTTACTTGAATTTGGATGGACTTATGTGTCAATGGTGGCTTCAAAGGGAGAATATGGTGAAAATGCTGTTCAAAATATGCAAGATCTAATTCGAAATTCGACACATGATGGCAAGTTTCTACAAATTAGTCTTAACTTTAATTCATGATTGAAAAGAGGAGCTAATTTTAAATATGTGTTACTAGTTCTAATTTTTTTCCACTAAAAATATTTTTTAAACAACTTCAAATAATTTCCCATAAATAGTATAAATCAGATCTTTTATTAGAAATGATATGCTTTACCTTTTACGATAATTTTTCTCTCTTAACGTAATTGTTTTCATGAATCATGCAATAAGTTGTGTATTTGAAATAAATTTTTATCATCCATTTTAAATCCACAGATACTATGTGACAGATTATCGATAAGAAAAGTGCACGTAATTTAACATTCTATGTTGCTTTAAAATGTGTTTTTTTACCATTATGCGGTATTTTTTCTTTTGTGACTTACTAAAATTCTGAATTTAATCATTATTAGCCAGCATTACGAATGTTAAAAAAATATCATTGTTCTTTAGCTGAAAACTTTTTGAAATGAAAAGGCTCTATTTTTTACTGTATTTTTTGCTGTGATTTAGTCCTTTAAATGAGAAAGTGAAAGTAAAAGAATTTTTTTTTCAATAGATATTTGCTTTGCTACTATTGAAATCTTACCTAGGGATCCAGTTCAGGAGCATTATGATTCATTGGTACACCGCCTAGATTTTTACGATAAAGCAAGAGTCGTAATAGTATTTCTTAATGAAGATAAAATAAGGTAAATATCTTTTTAGAGATTAATAAGAACTTGTAACTTCAAATTTTTTGTCTGTAATATGTATTTACAGTAATACCTTATTTATCCCTAAAATCATATTACATCAAATTAATGTTTTTAGTAAGGAATCTTGAAATCTGTAAAAACACATCTGTTTTTAATTCACATACTATTAGTTCACACTCTCCCTATGTATATATAATATATATATATATATATATATATATATATATATATAGTTTCATTTATTTTAGTGCAGTTTGATGTTAGTATTCTTTTTACTTAAATATTTCTACTGATGGTAATATGTGTTTCTAAATGATGTTATATATTGTCTTGTATATGCTGAAAATTGATTAAGTTTGTAAAGAGAGAAAAAACCACGCCATTACCCCCTTTTAAAATTGGGGGGGGATGTAAGGATAATTAAATTAGATTAAAAATTAAATTATCTATCTAGCACTTAACACATCTTTTTCCTTACCTCTTCAAGTATTAAACTAATCACCCATTTATTCCTTACGAACATATGGTCTAGCCAATAAACATGTCTAATTTCATATCGTTATATTTAATAGCCCTATATGTCAGCATTAACTCTCAAGTGCTCTCATGAAATCCGCTATTGGTGTTTTAAGTGTTAACCGCTTAAGATTTTCGGTGGCGTGCTTTTTTCCTCTCCGCTCTTAGCGTCAGAATATGTCTAACTTTCATCGAATAAAGATCCTTTTTTAAAACTAAGTCTGTTTCTGACTTCAAATTATGTCATATATATATCTTGTTCAAATTTTTAATCGTTAATAAAATATACATTTTTTTAAACTTGTAGTGAATGACACCTGATGTTAATGCAGTTCTTTCAAGTAATGGCTCATTAGTTAAACTTAATTAATGAATAAATAGTGACAAACAAAAATAATAGTCCAACACCCTGTATAAAAAGGAAAATCGCTCTTGTGTCCCTGTAGCGCAATGGATAGCACGTTGGACTTCTAATCCAAAGGTCGTGGGTTCGAATCCTACCTGGGATGGCCTAGTTTCCAAGAAAGGGATTTATGAATGAATAAATAGTAACAAACAAAAAATAATAGTCCAACACCATATATAGAGAAGAAACTCGCTTTGCATTTTGTCACTTAATATTGTGATTCTGTCATATGTATATGCATATTTATATTAATAGTAATTATTTAATAAAAAGTTACTAAAATAAAATATTTCTTTGATGACCTAAGTAGGGGAATTGTCTTAACATTTTTTTTCTATATATTACATGTTACTTTAAAAGCTAATATTTATACAGAAAAATCCGCCTTATATAAGCTTGTTATTTAAATTACGTTTTCAAAACGTGCACATCTGTTACAAATAAATCTACATGTCATTGAGATGAAAAAAAATGTATCACAGATTAGTAATTAAGTAGTATTTTAAGTTTTAATAATGTAAAATCGTGTATGTTAGAATCATCTATAAAAGTACTGGAATGTGTCCTATTCACTTTATGTGTGATTTACTATTTATTTCCATATAATTTATAAAAATTTAACATCAATTTGAAAAAGTAGTTCTAATATATTTCGGGTCTTTAGCATGATAAATAACTTGTCTTTAGTTTATTTCAATTAGTACTGGAATATGTACTAGAAAGTACTG